ATTCAGCACTATATCATGATGGATAGTGGTTATGTTGAAGTCTAGCATTGTGTCCTCTAGTTGTCCTAAAACGTTAAGAAATTTGCTTTTAAATGCCATTTACAGATTGTTTCTATCATACCTACAACCTACGTTATTAAAGTTTAAAAGTGAACAAGAACTTTATGAAAACCCTGTATATAACATGTATTCTAGCCATTTAATATGCAGCCTTTCATTGCACCTTAGTTCCATCATTTAAAAAAAACAAACAAAAGCAAACCCAGTTGGATGTCCACATAAGGTTTATTAAGGTAAAAGGGCTTATTTGACTTTTTCAAATAAATGCTTGTTGCAAATTCATGTACAAATGAATTATCGAAATAATTATGCTTTTCACATTTGCAACGAGTGTTATAATAGGGCATAAAATTTTAGTTTTAATTTCATAAATTACCTCTATCTTTAATATTTGCTAATTACCATGATCATTTTATACTTCAAGGAAGTTTTTTTCCTGTATAAACTGGCACAGGTCTTAATAATAAGCACCTGTGGAATCTTCCCTCAAATATGGCACTTTTCCCATTTTTTCCATCAGAATTTTGCTAGCAATCTCATTGTTAAACTTTCAAAATTTGATTTTCACTCTTACCTATTGTATCATGATCACATCATAATTGTTGTTGTTTTGGTTTTTTTCTGGTATGTTTTAGTTTATACAATTCTGTCATTTCAGAGTAGGGCCTCCCACACATTAGTGCGAGTATTTCTGCAGGAAGAACTTCAGAAATATTCCAAAGATCAGTATTTATTGCAGAAGGGACTCTGGCTAAGATGTATGGCTCCCTGTAGCTATAAAAGGCTCTGCATTTTAGAAACTAATCTCAAAACTGGATTCACACATGGACTCTTCTTACTGCATGGAATCCTTGTGAAGCTTATAGGGTTCAGCAAGGTCACAAAGATCCATATATATGATCCAATAGCATAACTGCCACCTAAAATTTTGTGGAGACAAGGTCTGTTTTCTGTGATTTGTTGTTTTTTTTAACTTGATAGATTCTTTGCATACCACTGTTAAGCGCAAACAATTTTCAGGGAGAAAGCATTGCTTTTTGATTTCAGAATGAAATATGAAACACTTTGAATTGATTATCACTACTTGTGATTTTAAATTATTCTGCTTTAATGTGTAAAGTATAGTACATTGTAGTGTGTAAGTCTGGGTGTTTCATCCTTAATCAGCAGATAACAGCATTTTAATAACGTTTCAGTTTTGTAAAGAATATGTTAATTTTTAAAATATGCTTCAAGAATGCATTGTTTGCTTGAACAGAACAAATAATTCACTAAAATTAGAAATGCTACTGAAAGGAGAAAATGTTAAGAAAATCCCAATTTTTTTCAATAGTTGTCTACTATAAAATGCTTTGGCATGCACATGTCTTGTACACTTCATCTCCAAATCCAAGAGAAATTTCAAATTAACAGTGTTTCCTATGTACTGCAAAATTATTCCTATGTACTGGAAAATTATTATCCTTTATTATAGAAATAGAAAACCTGATTCCTTTCCATTTTCAGGTATTCAATATGTACCTTCATGTTACGATTTTTAAAGAACACATTTAGTATTTTTGAGATGTATTTTACAAGACTGTGAAATACACTGAATAATTAACAAATTGCAATAACAAATTGCAATACGCTGCACAGAGAAAATGTGAAAACTTCTAGTTCAGTCAAAACTTTTCTTTTCTCTAGACATATCTTCAGTTTGTGGAGCTCTCTCTCATTCCAGCATAGACAATGAGATGACAGCAAATCACACTGGTTTGGGAAGAATTCATTTCAATTGTAATGCATATTTTCATGCTGGGGCTTCATCAGCATCTGGTTTGAATATGCCCTGGGGAGATCTTAAATTGAGACTGTTGTGTACCTCTTAATAAAAACCTCAAATTGCCTTTTTTTATTACCTTATATGTCAGACTGAAGATTTGCTCAATGAAATTAAGCAACTTAAAGATGAAGTGAAGAAACAAGATGAAACAATCAAGCGATTAGAGCATCAACTTGTAAGTATAGATCTACATTGAACCAATTAAAATATTTTAAGGAAAGACCACATATGTGTTTGTAACAGGGTGGCCCCCTTCATCATGTCTTCACCAGCTGCCCTGCTCCTGGGGTAACCACCTGGTTTGCTCGTCTGCCATGCCTTCATGGAAAAATAAGAGAGTTGTTACTAAGGTGGGAGGCTACCCATTACTCACCCTGCTGACAAGGGCCTAATACCCACTGCAACCTCCCCTCCATGGGTCCTAGGCCTCACAGATGTTACAGCTCTCTTCTGTAGCCCCAGAGGGCTGCTTGCATGCTACCCCTTTCTCACCAGGGTCCCACTGACTCTGCTGGCTCTCAGCTTCTTTCATACTGCCTTCTCTCAGGGGCCACTCTCATGCCAGCTTTGGGCTTAGCTCTCCTCACCATGGTCAGCTCTGGCACAGTCTGTTGGGTATCTCCTGCTACCCTCACCTGAGCATTGACTGAATGATTGTATGACTCTAGGCCTATTTTGCTCCTAGCCCCTTGCCAGGCCACTATGCCCCACACTGGGCCTCCTCACTTGCCCACATTCATGGGGCCACTCTATTCATCCCCCTCTTCCACAGTGTCTCTCTACTCATCACCCTTCTCACACAGACTCACACCCCCAGGCTTTTCTTTGCTGCTGGGGTGTGACCCCAGGTCTCTCCTCCAGCCTGAGCTCTGCCTCAGGCCCCCTTAACCAAGCTCTGGGCTCCCCCTGCCTGCTAGAACACCACCAGGGATGTGGGGCTGGGGTGTTTAAGGTGCCGCAACCCACCTTTCACTGGGGAGGTAACTGGTCTGGCATTTCCTGGGGGCTCCCATGCCTCTAGGAACATCACCAGACCACCCTTCCCTGGCAGGGTTCAGTTTTATGTCTTACCCAGGAAAAGGGGTCACCTCCTCCCCATAGCCCCTGCCCTTACCTTCTGACTGGCCAGAGCAGCATCTCAGCCTGATGTTCCTTCCTTCCTGCAGCAAACTGTAGCCCAGTTTATATCCTTGGGCCAAAATGGCTGCCCTTATTAGGCACCTGGCTGCTGCCTGTTTGCTACTTTTGAAGTGGCGGGCACCACAGGTGCCCTGCTACGGTGTTGCAAAGCACACTTTTAGATATCATGTCTCCTTGAAAACGTTGGACTAAATTTTATTTTTTGATTTTTACTTGTATTATAATCCAGAAGGGACTATTGAGATCACCTACTTTGATTTTCTATAAAACATAGGCCCTAAAGTAATTCCCTAAATTAATTCCTGTTTTGAATTAGAGCATATCTTAGGGGGAAGAGGGGAGGAAATTCCTCCTTGATTTAAAAATGTATAGTGATGGAGAATTGACTACAACACTTGGCAAATTGCTCCAAAGATGAACTACCCTGGCATATAAAATTGCACCTTCATCTGACTTTTATGCTTCTTGGGGTTGCATAAGTGTAGTTTGTGGCTTCATTTTAGGCATATCTGGGCTCTGGCCTATTGCAGGGTGTTCCAGTTTTACAAATTAAAATATATTTGGATTGTATATTCGTTTCTCACTTCTAAAATCTTAATCTGTTTAGACTCAGGTGGTATATATAGCTTCTGTGTGGCACATGCAGGTCAGGGAGGGGACAGGCAGCCCAGTGATAGATCAAGCAGGGAGCAAAAATTGGAGCAGCATATCAAGCAGGGAGCAGAACCAAGCCAAATGACTGACAGAGCGCTTGATCTGTTTTTTTTAACCAATATTGGATTGAAATGCATCTCTTTCAAATTAACAAAAATGTCTTCTACATGCACAGTTGTAGAAACTGAGCATGGGTGTTATTGACAATAAAAAGATGCTACTGTTGTAAAGCGTTTTATTTTTTTTTTTGCATAGATGTACTAAATGCATCTTGAAGTTGAAAATGGTAGTACAGATTTAAAAATTGCAGATGTACATATCAATATGTAAATTCACACATCCATACATATGTGTGTATGTATAAATAAAAATACATTTGCAGTATGAAATACAGTGTGGTGAGAATTATACTTGCTCATATAAGCAAATAATGGTAAAATATTGCCTGGTTTGTTTAATATTTCATAGCTGAATATTAAATGAATTAGGGTCTTAAAATTGTTTCAGTTATGCACTATCCTTCCAACCATAAAGCCATGCCTGTTGGTTACAATAAGTATAACATTTCAAACCACAGAGGAAAAAAATACATTTTAGAAACCCCAGAAATGCTTTTGAGACTTAAGTCAGTTGTTCACATTGCAGCTTCTTGATCTCTCCTCCTTTATTAAGGTTTCAGATACGGTGTCATCACTTGCATAGGAGGAAACACTTTGATTTCCAATGGGAGTCAAGCCAACATGTTGCCATGGAATTTTAGACTGAAGAGAATAGAGTGAGCTCACGTAGAGCTCACATTTTTGGGACATTTTAAAGCTTTGGAGCCTTTATTTGGTGGTTTGATTCTCTGTTATATTCTGTAAGGGCAATAGCAGTTCAATGTCTTCCTATAGTTTTTACTTATTCAGAATAAAATTGAACCTGGCTTTTTCCTGAAATTGAACCCTAAAATGTAAGACTGTTTTATCAGAGCAGCATGGTAGTATAGAATTTCTGAATATAAAAATGTTGCTGTATTGAGGTTTAATAGGCTGGAGGTGTTTTCCTGTTGAAATAACAGGGTTCCCTGTGTTCACATTCCTGATTGTTAAGGGTTTCAAAATGCTTGTCATTCATCTTATCACAGTGGACATTTATACATGTGCTGTGAGGGGAGTGGGGGAGGGTGCTTTAATTAGAGCGGCTCCAAGAGCTGTTCTTATTAAAACGCTTGGAGCGTCACGTGTATCAGCACCCCTGCACTGAAAAATGGTAGTGAGGGTGCCTTAATTAACTAGTTAAAGCAACCCTGCTGCCATTTTTTAGCACAGGGATGCTGATATATGTGAGACTGGAGTCTGCAGAGCATGGTAATTACCACAGTCCAGCTGACTGGATTAATCAAGTCTGCTCTGCCATGTTGTAATTGCAGCATATCAGAGCAGCCTCAGTGTAAGTGTATAGGTGCCCAGTGTTTGTCTTCAAGGCTCAGTGGACATCCTGGCTAGGTCTAGATGAGCACTCACATGCCTGTTGCGCTGCCTCAGAGCAGTTTGAGAAGCCACAAAAGGCACACTGGGAACAAAAAAATGTTAGGCAGTGCAGACTCTAAATTTGATACCAGGAAATCCTGATATATAAAAAAAAAAAAAAAAAAAACCCCGCTGC